CGTTTAAAGCCTTGTAGGTGAGCAGCAGGACCTTAAAATCTGCTCGAACCTGACAAGGTAGCCAATGAAGAGAGTTCAGTACAGGGCTAATGTGCTCAAATTTCACAGTTCTTGTTAAAATGCGAGCAGCTGCATTTTGCACCATCTGTAGACCTCTAAAACTTTTCTTTGGTAGCCCAGAAAGAAGAGCATTACAACAATCAATACGTGAGGACACAAATGCATGGACAAGAACCTCTGCAGTGTCGCTTGACAAACCTTGTCTGATTCTGGCTGATGTTCCTCAAATGATGGACTGTCTTTGTTATCTCTTTTACACGAGACTCGAAAGAGAGCACCATGTCAAACCACACGCCCAAGTTATCCAAATCATGTCTTTAAAATGTACTGTGGGCCAACAGCTGCTATCTATTTTGACACAACCATGCCTAAGAAACAAGAAATCTTTCCACAGCTAAAATTTGACCACAAAATGTTGAGAAAAATCAATACAAATAAAAAAGATGATAACACTGCATAGTTAATATGTATTAGTATGCAAATTCCTGCACAACCACATTTTTTTTCTAGGTAAATGGGAAGTTAGTGCAGTGAGTTATGGAAACATGTGCATACATAAATGGGAAGTTGATATCTGGTATGACCACCTATTCTTCAATGCAGCATGAACTCCTTTTAAGAGCCCTTCATCGTTCTCCAGCGCTTGTGAAGGACATTCAAAGCTCTCCTATGGACACTGACTTTATTTTGTTGTGTTCTCTGTCAAGATGACCCTACACTGCTTTAGTAACATTGAGGTCCGGACTCTGGGGAGGCCAGTCCACGACTGACTGCGCTCCACTCTGTGTTTTTCTATCTATGTAGGCTTTTACTGCAGTGACTATGTGTTTGAAATCATTGCCATGCTGGTGGATCAAAATCTGACCGTACTTTTCTGCGTTCATAATTACATCAATTTTAATAAGATCCCCAACAACACTGACTGAAATATAGCCCCACACCATGACAGGGCCTCGACCGTGGTTCAGAGATGGCTGTAGACACTCAGCTCTCTCCTCACATGCTCCATATGTACTGACAGTTATTTGTAACAAATGTGGAATCAATCCATTAGACCTGTTGATCAGTCCAGATCAGATTCATGACAGCCACCTTTCCACTGAGACCATTTCTGATCGAGGCTTCAGCAAACAGTAGATGGATCAGCTAAAGATGCATACTGTTATCCAGTTTCCACAAATGTAAGGACATACTGCCCATGATGCCAAAATACGGCACATTTTAACTAATAGTTTTCACGTTTTTGGCTAATCACTTTGTTGGTGAAAAAACATTCCCCTAAAAATGGTCCCCAATGCCAGTGTCCCCCTCAAAAAACCTTCTGAGGATCTTCAGAAAGCCTGAAGAACTTCTGCTCAAGACCCTTTAAAACATGACAAGGAAATCTGGCTACTTAAATCTGTCATAGAGCTGTTATTCAAAGACATATAAAGCACAATCCCTGGAGGTGCTGTCATGCTTCTTTCCCTAACTCACTTTTAACTTGTACTGTACCACAAGGTTAAATTTTAGATCCACTAGACCTTTCTGTGCGTTTCCATCGAATATGGACAAATATAACTTTCATTTTTTAAAGTTCATAATTGTTTTTTTGAGGAACTTGTGCTCTACTTCTTCTTTTTTTTAGACAGACATTTTCTTTTTCTGTTCATATCAGTAGGTAGAAAACATGCTGATATTTTTCCAGAC